CATATTTATCATTTGAGGAAAGCATATAAAGTAAGCTAGATGACATGCAGAGATGAGCTTAAGTTTTATATAAAGCAGATTAACCCCTGGTTTGTTTTCATCAAAAGTCTATTAGCTCTGAAAGTGATCATTCTGCACTTCCACAGTTCCGTTCCTTTAAAAAGTGATCACGTTTCTTTCACCTTCTTCTCAACTACACCACACAAAGATTTGCACACTCAACTCATCTTAAAAAGTACCTTACAGGCAGTCATCATTTTGCACAGAGGTGCAGGACCATAAAAGTGGCCTATTTGCTGGAATCCTTGTTCTGTGGCTTTTAAAATTTTTTCAGTGTTAAAAATCCTTACTGTTAAATGTCTAAGAAATGAAAAATAGTAAAATATTTAGTAGACTAAAACAGTAAAAGCATTACAAATCAAGTGCTTTGTTAAAAAAATGTGCATGCCTGTACTTCCTTATTAAACAATTTACAATACACAACAAGCATATTTTGTGTATGCTGGGAATTGAAGCAAAGACCCCAGGCACACTGCAAAGCACACCCTCTCTCACTGAGCTATGACCCCAGACAAACATCATCTTTATGCCTTGACAAATTGTCTTACTCTTAAGTTTGGATTCACCTCCAACATTTTAATTGTCATGGCTTCCGTTTCAAGAAATGTGTCTAAGTCCCTTTAACAAAATTTTCTCCACTGTCACATCCTCGGAGACATCATCCTTTTCATATTTCCTCATTTATGTCAGTGAGTTTACCTTCACTAAGTTTCTGTATCACCTATCTCTACAATGGCAGCAGTAACAACAACCCTATGTCAGCTATTTCTTCTATAACTCCAGTTGCATCCTATTTAAGTTCTATTTTCAGCCTAGTCGTTTTCACTTTTCACTGCCATGTTTATCTTCAATAATTAGTTTTCAAGCTTCTTTAAAATACGTATGTGGGTTTATTTCTGGAGACAAGGAGGTAATACAACCACACTTTGCTATGTCTGTCTGTTAATGCTTAACAGATGCATGGTGACCAATTGGACGGACTTTGAAAGAAGTGGCAATTGATCATTGGTCATTATACATGTGCTATTGAGGCAGTGACTAGAGAACTGAGGAGCCAGCAGGGCATGCTGAAACTCATGCAGGCTGAAATTAAGAAAAGCAAAAATTGCATGAGCTTTCTCAGAAATCATTTCAATGCATAGGATTAGATTTAAAAGCATAGAATAGTATCACTGCTCAAATCCCGATCATATTTTGAGGGCTGGAATGGTAGATGCTATGGCTCGTGTCTAGATGTCCCCCTAAAACCTCATGCAGTTATAGTTGAAGCTTTTCAGAGATGGCTGGATCCAGAGTGTGTGATTACTAAATTAGTCCACTTATAGGTTTGGCGTAGTTCTGGATAGGATTAAGGGTGCCACTCTGGGTGTGAGTGCTACCTGTCCTAAAGGCAAGTAGTCTGGATATAATAAAAGGAACAGAAAGGTCAGGTGCTTGTTACCTGCTGCTTGCTACCTTTTTGCTTACCATGAACTGTTTCTCCTTTGCACTGGCATTCTGCCATGCCACCCTGCCTTAGAAGCAGCCAATTATGGACTGAAACCTCTACAAAGTGTGAACTAAATAAGTCTTTCCTCCTTTAACTTTGGGTGTCAAGTATTTTGTCTCAGCCATGAGAAAAAGTAAGGCAGTAGAGAAGGTGATGCAAAGGAGTTGAGACTACAGAATATAGCTCTGAGACTAACAGGGATTCCATTTGTAAATTTTTGTTCTGCAATAAAAAGGGTAGGAAGAAAAGGAGGAAAGGGTACAAGCAAGGAACAGTTTTAAAGTCCTTTAAAAAATATTTAGCATTGATAACTTACATTTGGCCTTAGCAGTGCAAACTGTTCTTTCTTAAAACTCTCTCGTGTCCCAAACAAAATTCAAAGTTTCTACATGCTTTTGAAGCTCCTCATCCCTTCACTAATATTACAAATGGACAAAAATAAGACAAGATAAAATATTTTGGGCTTCTGAAAACAATCAGTGTAACCAGAATTTTGTTAGTTCAAATTAAGTTTATAAAAGGCACTTACTTTGTTCTACAAACTCGGTATTACATGAAACCAGAATTGTCTTTTGTATTTACTATTACTGCTGTAAGAAAGAAGAAATGTAAAAATTATTTTTCCTACTTAATACAGAATTAACAGATATTTCTAGCTTCCTTAAAGCATGGCTTCAGAACTGGGAGTGGGCAGGTTCCCACCTCCCAGGCAGTAGTACCTCTGCACAGCCTGCAGTTGGATCTAAACACCTCTCAAATATAACCACCAAAGATCAGCAGACACCAAGGAAAGCCACCCACTATAATTTGGATGTGCTTTCTCCCCCAAGGGTTCATGTACTAGAGGTTTGCTCTCGAAAGTGGCATTTAAGGTGGTGAAACCCTGAAAAGGTAAGACCTGGAACAAGGTCACTAGGTCACAGGAGCACTGCCCCCTGGACAAGATTCATACTGGTTTCATAGTTCTTGCAAAATCAAGTTATTCAAAAAGAGCAAGCCTAGACTCTGAATCTCTCCAGCTTCCCATCTTGCTATATGGCCTCTTCTAATCATGTTTCCACAATCGCTGTGCCAGCAGCCATGAGGCCCTCATCAGATTTAAAAGATGGGACTGCCCAATGTTGGAACTTTAAGCCTCCAAAACTGTGAGCTAAACAAACCTCCTTTACTTATAAAGTTCCCAGCATTGGGTATTTTGCTATAGCAACACAGAATAGACCAATGTACTACTCAAACAAAATAATCCTAAACAAGGGCATATGGAGTATTAGATATAGAATATTTGGATTATATCATGGCAAACAATGTCCTAAGCTTTCTACACATATGAACTTAATGCTGAAAGCCAAAGAGATTGTTCCTGTACTGTGTCTACCTTTTGTCAGAGAAGAAAACGCACAGGAACTTTACTTGCCAAAGGTCAAACAGCAAATAAATAGAAAAGCCAGGTCACAGAGTCCAAGCTTTTAACTTCTACAAGTAGAAGACAAATATGGCACTTCTCTCTCATATGTGGATGTTTCAGTAATTGGATTGGAATATAGAACAGTGATTACGAGATACTGAGAAGGGTGATGGGAGATAGTGTTAGATAATAGGGTACCATACACATCTACAAAGAAGTAATAAGTTCTAATGTTCTACAGCACAGTAAGGTGGCTACTATTCAAAATAATTTATACTTTGTGAATAAGGAGGGAGAGCCTGATGACTTCAAACACAAAGTACTGATGAGATGAAAATGTTAATTACTCAAAAATGATAAATAGTACTCTGAAGTGTCAATGTATGGAAATATCACATTGGACCAAAAACTACATACAATTAAAATAATCAATTTTTTTTAAAAATGTGTAAGCAAGGGCTGGCGATTTAGCTCAGTGGTTCTGCCGCCTGCCTTGCAAACGCAAGGTCCCAAGTTCAATCCCCAGTACCAATAAATAAATTAATTAATTTAAAAGTGTGTAAGCAAAATGCACAGGAAGGAAAAAACTGAGGAAACAGAATGAAAGGAACAGAATAAAGTATTTTAAAAGCTAAAACTATAATTCATATCCTCAGAGACATATTACTGTATCTTTAAAAGATGATATGAAATGGACCAATTAGAGAATAAACAACTTTGGAGGAATAAAGTAAAAGCTAAAGTGCCAGGCGTGGTGGCACACATGTAAAATCACATTTGGGAGGCAGAGGTAGGAGATCACTGCAAGTTCAAGGCCAGCCTTGTCTACATAGCAAGACCCTGCCTCAAAAAAAATAAAATGCTAAATATTAAAAAATATTTAATAAAGTAGAAAAAAGAGTCAAAGAAATCTTTCCCCCAAAGTAGAACCAAAACATAAACTTAAGAGTTATCAGCAGATGTTCAACTTTCAACAAAAATTCCAGAATCAGAACAAAAGAAAATGTCAAGGAAACAGGTTATCAAATAGAATTTCCTAGAAAGGAAGAAATTCAATCCTTCTAAACACTGTAATTAAAAAAATGGAAGCAAACCAATATTAAGGCAGGGCATCTTAAATTTTCAGATCATCAAGAAAAGTTATGAGAGAACAAGAAGAATGAAGCAGGCACCAGATTCCTCAATGCAACACAAGAGGCTGCCAAAGAAGGGCCTTCAACATTTTTAAGGAGAATTTTTGCCAGCCAAATTAGAGGCCAATTTTAAAAAATGGCCTCTACTAATAAAAAGCTGACCTCTCATATTCCCTTTCCTGAGAAGGAACTAGCAAACAGGATGTAAGCCAGGGATTTAGCTCAATGGTGCTGCCACCTGCCTCACAAGTGCAAGGTCCCCAGTTTGACCCCTGGTACCAAACAAACAAACAAACAAAAAGGACGTAACAAAAGAAACATAAGGAAAATATGGGACAGTACTGGAGCCAGCCTCAAAGGCTGAGAAGAGACAAGGTGATAGTTGTATAGCAGACCTAGCACAGAGCAGGAAAATCATTAAGTGGACGAAATGACAAATATATGGAAAAGATCATGACAGAGAGATAATTAGGAAAAAGAGATATGATGATTAACTCAAAGAAAAACCTGTAATTGTGCCTCAGAGAACATCTGAGTTTAATACAGCTAGCTTTGTAAGAATTGACTGTCCTGAAACTAATTGGAAGGATGGGAAAGAGGAAGTGAGGGAAGCAGAGACTAAATTTCCAACTATCATAAAAGGCAACTTGGACCAGTTTATATTATTAATAAATAGCAAAACTGTTTAATATGCAAAGTAACTTTTAAATCAGTTCTGAGTTTTTAACCAAGGGTATATGTGTTTCATTAAATTTTTTTTTTTTTTTTTTTGGTTTTTTGAGACAGGGTCTCACTATGTAGTTGAGACTGACCTGGAACTCACTATGTAGCCCAGGCTGGTCTTGAATTCACAGTGATCCACCTGCCTCAGCCTCCCAAGTGCTGGGATTATAGGCGTGCGCCACCATGCCCAGCTCATTAATTTTTAAAAATTTATTGAAAGAATTTTTTCCAGTTAAAAAAAAGAAAAAGAGTAAGAGAGGAAGTCCAATTGTACTGTGAAATTCCAAGACTTCATCCCTTTTTCCTGTTCTTCATTTAAAAAGATGTTGTTTAACGGGTTCTGTTCTTCATTTTCTCTCTTGTACGTTTTCCAGGTCTCTTCTATAAAAAAATAAATACACACACACAAATGAAAACAGATGTGGTCATACAGCACATAGCCCTTTACCCCAGACAAAGGAGAGGGAGGACAAGGTGGGAGGGGGGGCCGCTGCAACCCCTGGCTCACTTACATTTGATCCTTTCTTCCCAGGCCTCTTGAGGCCTTTCCCATGTGCTGTCTTGGCCCGGAAGCTGGATACATCATCATGGCTCTCACGGGTATTCCACTTGGAACCTTTCTTCTTCCCACCAAAGCCAAACTTCTGATTTTTATATCGTCTTTTGGCACTGGGCCTGGACAAAAGGGACCAGATAGATTATCACAGCATTATAAATCCTAATGAACCTCTGGTCCAAGATACTGTCCCGTTCCTTTGTGAACAGCCCCTTAGGCACTGTCACCAGAATCCCATCCCTGGCCCACATTTTTACTCACAGACCCCCTAGACAAGCTTGTCTATGTATGATTTTAATTCCCATAGCAGGAAAACAAAGAAAAAGTAGGAAAGGACCTACAAATGGCTTTCTGCTATCTTCAGAAAGATTTACATTTTCACTCTATCTTGTTAAATCACCCTCAATTATTTCTATCCATACAAACACACACATACACACACACACACACACACACACACACACAGGCACCAAGCATTCAAATGTGGTAAATGTTAAAACTCATCAAGCTCAGCATGAACAAAAGATGACAAAAGTACATGTCATCTTCCATCCTAGACGAACTCCACCTCCAGTACAAACACCTACCTTGTGGATGGTGCTCCTACCATCTGCCCAGCCACCCAGGCTGCACTCAATTTAGTTACTGAGTCCAGCTCATTAACCTCTTCAGTGTTTCTTCCATCCATTTCCCTTCCTCTTCCCAACTATACTTTTAGGATATTATCACTGCTCATCTGAGCTTCACTAACAGCCACTCCGGTCTCCATTTCCCTCAAGTCCATCTAAGCAAGTGTCACTGTTACTTTTTTAAATATGATAAAGCCTACTCATCACTGTGGGTACAGCCAGCAAACAGTCCAAGCCCCAAGCCCACCTCTCTGCTCCTTATCCATGCTGCACCCCCCAGTATGCCAAACACCAGTTGCTCCTCACACCCAACCTGCTGTGTCACATCTGTGTGCCTCTGCTCATTCAGGTTCTTTCTTCTTCCCTAAACAAGCTCCTCTCCTGCTTTTCTGGACAATGTTTACTCATCCTTCAAACTAGACTCAAGGGGGCCCCTCCTCCAGGAAGCTATCTGCAGACCCAGTGCTTAATAATAGTCTCTAAACGCTTCCATCCATAACACTTGTCGTTAGTCATCATTCCTCCTAGGCATGCTATCCAAGTGTGCAGAAAATTGGATTAAATAGAACAAAAACAGCCAATATTTTCCCTTTCAGTCTTTACAGTACTATGAGTGAGGCACAAACCATTTCCCTAGGAGAACAGATGTGACTTACTCTGAGCTACCTTCCTAGAGTGGCAGGAACTGGATCTGAACCTAGGTCTATACTCTTTACCATCATGCTGTGAGATGGGGAACCCAGTAACTTTAAGTGAGCCAAACACCTTGTTGTCACCTTTAAAGACTCACATCGCTAGAGACCCATCACAAGGCACTGTAAGTCTTAGCCATAGCAGTGGCTGCACTCTCCATTCAGGGCCATTCCTGTGAGGTCCCCACCATGCCCATGCACTATTGGCCCATCATGCACTAAAGAAGTAAACGAAACCAAACAGCACTCTTCTTACCCCTTCTTCATCTGCTGCCCTTTAGTTCCTGTCTTCGTGCCCCGGGAAACAGGTTTCTGATCTCCCTCAAGGAAATCCAATTTATCAGAGAAGCCTGTGAGTAAAGAAGCATTCTGATCAGCACTTCTGTATTTTTCAAAAAGTTTTTAAGAAGCACCTTGCTCCCTGCAACACTGGCAAAACTTAGGTCCATATTTCCACATCAAGAAGACATCAAAGAACTGTGCATCCAAAGTACCTGTAAGGCACCTGATACCCCTCCCTGTTCCCCAATATCCTTAGAAAAGACATGCTGACCTTTCTGATATTTCTTAATGGCAGTCATCATATGTGATTTCTCCTGCTGCCTCTTCTGAAGAACCTCTGTTTGCACCTGGAGTATGGACACAAGGAAATTGTTCCAACTGTCTACATTCTCTCAATAATAATAATGCATTACAAAACACACACAGCAACACACTGTGATTCTCACCACTACCAATTACTCATAGATGCCCAAAACTATGCTAAGGGCTCTAAGTACATTCTTAGTTCTTCTTCATAACTATTCAGTGAAGTTTAAATTCTTATTATCTACTAAATGAATGCACAGAGTGTTTATATTCTGGCCCAAGTTACACTACAAAAAAGTACAAAATTGAGATTCACATCCAGGCAGCCCTCCTCCAAAGCTTGCACTTTCGCCCCAACATACAGTCCTGCCTACAAAACCAACAAATCTTGTTTAAGTCAGTTTTGCCCATTAGTTATAATTGGCCAGATTAAACATCCAACCCACTGTTACAAAGGCTGAAGGTACCAAAACAAGAGGTAAGAAAAAAATGAGCAACTGGGCCAGGTATTTAGCTCAGTGGTGCCACAGCCTGCCTCGCAAGCACAAGGTCCCAAATTCGATCTCTGATATCAAAAATAAATAAATAAAAAATGAGCAACTGAAATGAATAGATGCTTCTCAGAAGTACAAACAGGCAATAAATATATGAAGAAATGCTCAACACCACTGGACGTTAGAGAAATGTAAAGTAAAACCACACTGAGATTCCACCTTATCCCAGAAAGAATGACCATCATCAAAAAATCAAATAGTAACAAAGGCTGGAGAAGCTGTGGGGGAGAAAGAAACCCTTGTACACTATTGGTGGGAATATAAACTAGTATGACAATTTTCAATATCAGAGTCTGCAAAACATCAAAACTAGACCTAGCTATTCACCTCTAGGCATCTTCCCAAAAGAGTTAAAGACATAATATAGTAATACGTGCATACCCATGTTTATAGCAGCACAATTCAAAATAACTAAATCTTGGAAGCGACACTATGTTCATCAACAGTGAATGGATAAAGAATATGTGGTGGGCCTGGGATCTAGCTCAATGGTTCCACCGCCTGCCTTGCAAGCGTTAAGGATCCGAGTTTGATCCCTGGTACCAAAAAAAAAAAAAAGAATATGTGGTTTTTACACACAATATAGTACGACTCTGCCACAAAGATACTAAGTTATGTGTCCAAAAATGGATACATCCTGACACCATAATGTTAAGTGAAATAAATCAGACACACAAGCTTAAACACTGTATTTCTCTTTTATGAGAAAGCCAAAGTATACAGAGCAAAATAAAAGATAGTTGACTAGATTTAGGGAGGCAGATCTTTCTAAAAGGGAATCAAAGGAGAGGAACAAGAGAGGGGAGGGAAGGGGATAAATAAGGAATTAAGATGCATTATGTACATGTACCAACTCCACACAAGAATATAAACACTATGTGCTGCAAATATGTACCCCAAAAAAGAAATGAATCAAGAGATGAATGGAGGAGGGAAGGTAAAGAGTATGAAAAATAAAAGCAGTTAGGATGTATTATATTATATACATGTACCAATACAAGGAATGCATTCCACAAGGAATGCAAACATGTATTATAAGCATACTAATAAAATAAATAAATAAAAGATTTATTTATGAGGACAAAAAAGAACAAGTGGCAGAACTCCAAATGGACAAAAGAACTCCAGTAGTGTTGATGGGTTCCTTTTTCTTCAAAGGCCTCTCCAGCCTTTGTTATTATTTGATTTCTCACTTCAGGTTGGCCTTGAACTCACTATGTAACCCAGGCTGGTCTCAAACTCAGATTGATCCTCCTGCCTCAGACTCCTGGGTGCTGGGATTACAGGTGTGCACCACACCAGCATTATTTGATTCCTTGATGATGGTCATTCTTTCTGGGATAAAGTGGAATCTCAGTATTGTTTGCATTTCTCTAACAGCCAGTGGGGTTGAGCATTTCAATCTCAACATTGCTGACAGTCTAGAAGAAAATCTTTGTTGGTGGGTAAGGCCTATTCTTGTGCATTTTAGGGTATTTAGCAATATCCTTGCCTCCTATCCACTAGATACCAGTAGTAGCAACCTCAAACCGAGATGTGACAACTAAAAAATGTCTCTAGACAAGGACAAAATGGGGCAGGGGGCAGGGAAGGCAAAAGTACCTCAAACTAAGAAGCAATGCCCTAAGGTTTCCTCAAATAAGAAACAGCAAACCAAAAGGCCCAACAGTTTTTCTTTGATAAACTTCAAATTTTCTTGATAAATTAGGTTATATTCAACTAACTGCCATTGTCTTTGAGATAATATCGACCACTCAATTCCAAATTATAGAAACACAAAATCTACAGCAGACTTTTTGCAGATGAGAGAATGCTCATCTATCTACTCTTCCTCTGCTGAGGATCCATCGATGAAATGATCCCAAATGTGGACAACTTCAGGCCTCAGTCCATAAAGGTTATATTCAAAATGCTGACAAATGCTTAAAATCCATGAAGAACCTCCTCACGCTCATTCTTTCCCCAACTAATTCCCGTCATCTTCTTTCTTAGGTGACTTATACAATAAAAAAGAAAAAATCCAAAAAGCTTTTGTGGAATGCCTAATCTGGTTTCACATTAGAGCTCCGACAGTAACAGTGAAATACATGGGTGACCCTTTACTTCTTAGACTGGGTGATAATCAACAGAGTAATTCCTTCAGTGATCCGACAAACATGGAGACAAGCGTGTCACATCCAGGACACAAATCAGAAGTATCTGGGAGGCTTTTTAGAGAAACGAGAAAGCATATAAAGATTCCCAGAAAGTCTGAAGCCTAAAAATATTTCAAAAATTTCCCCTAATTTTGCTGAAATGTAATGTTTAGAAAGTACTAATCTGAATTCAACTCTTTACCATATGGATGTGGAACTTAAATTCCAGAGATGACTAGCTTTCCTGCCACTTCCACAGTGCCGCTGGTGCTCTTGAATCTCAACATACACACTCTACTGTGGATTGGGAAGCACGTGATAAAGCCCATGTAAGGCATGAAATGAAATCAGACCACAGCAATCAAACCAGACAGACATAATGGGCCTTGTCCTATTGCCTGCACATTTTCTTTCTCACCTTCTTTCCATATTTCCTAAGTGCTCGCAGTTGCTTAGCCTTTTCAGACTTCTCCATGGCAGCTTGTTTAGTCTGTAGCTTCTGTCGAATCTATAATGCAAACAAAATATTGTCAGACAATCTTAGAGCGCACTGAAACAGGGAACAGATATTCTCGGTTTGCAAACAATGGTATAAATCATTTACTGTATTCTAACCCATGGGTTTTACGCATTTTACATATGAGGACATTAAGACCCAAAGGCTCAACACTTTGCCTAATGTACCAAAGTGGTATTGATAGAGTCAGATTAAAAGTGACCTTCCCACTCCCACTGTGGTGTTTGTTCCATTATAAAAAAATGTCCGCTTGTAGTCTAGGAAAGACCAATTACTCTCCATCTTAATGTCTACAAAACAGCGTGCAGCTTCAGTACCCTTTTCTAATAAGCCACATAAGCGAGAAAAACTCCAACAGATATCCAACACCAAACATACATATTTCAGTTAAAAATAAGAAGTTACAAGTGTAAATGTACAGAGATACAACTGGGCTAGTCTTCAGATGAAGTTCTTTCAGCACCACCTAGAGAAGGCCTTCATAAAATCTTACTTAAAACCCAAGGGAAGTATTTAAATATATCCTGGATATATGTTAGAAATCCTCCTCTTCCCTAAATTAAATGAGGCTCGTGTTCTACCTAACTCTGTATTATACTACAGGTGAACCATATAGTAATCTCTCATTTCCTAGAAAACTGAATCCCAGAGAAGGCAAAATGTCTACAGTGACAGCACTGCTCAGTGGCAACAGCAGGACCAAAACACACTATGCCATGTAGGAAACACAAAACCCACTTTCACTTCAGAAATCATACTACTTATAGTACTACTTCTCTTCTTAATCATTTACATTAAGAAAACTTAATTTCACATTTATCTAATGGGTGGCATCTGCCATGACTGAGACATTGAATTTCTGGAAGAGAGAATAACTGTCTCTAATAGCCAACCAGCTCCCCAGTATTGGACTTATTTTTTAAAAAACATTATAGGAGATGAATCCACTGAATATACTTCAGTACAAAGCTTTGGCTTTCCAGAGAAAAACCTCATTTCTTACCTTCTGCATCTGCTGATCGGACTTGGCCATTTCCGCAAAATAATCAGTGGGCCGCTTGGTAGGGACTTTGAGCTGGCGGAGGCGGGGCAATACTGCAAGCACTGCTGCCTGAGCTTGGCGGTAGCTGAGATTGACGACAAAGCATGGAATGAGATGAGGGAGAAAGACTTCTATGCCTTCTTACTGCCTCTCAGTTATCCAAGATTAGAAGGACTATCAACATCTGACCTCCATGAGTTAGAACAAAGCAATAAAACAAAAACTCTAATAAAACCTCACTAATTCGACATCCTAGAGAAATTTCACTGTACGCCATTTTTCACTATACATAGGGAAGAAGAGTTGCTAAAAATACATCAGTAGTATAAGAGGATAACCACGATACCCATTAACACACAAGCAAATGTCAATTTTGAATTATTATGTAATCACTAAAGAAAAGTCCTCACAAGAGCCCTTCCTAACCAAAGTTGGTTCTAGTGACTAAACGCACACCCAAAAACACTGAGCTCTTTTCTCAGCCAAAGAGAATCTCCCAACTCCCTCTCCATTCCCAGGCTTAAACTAAGACCATTTCCTGGCGTTTCTGAGGGTGAGGGCTCACTACTGTCCTCTCCCCGACTCTCTAGCACAACTTCTCCCACAGCAGCAAACATACAAACTCATTTCCCGCTGGAAGTCGTCTTCTGGATTAACAGCTTTCTGGTCCTTGTTCTGAGGTGTTGGCTCAGGTCCACTGACATCCGGCACGGGACCCAGGGTCACATCGAGTCTTTCAACCCATTCTAGACTCCGCTTGAATTCGACCAAACACTGCTTCAGGCCATTCTAGATAATGCAGACACTGAGCTCAGAACGCTGTTTGTTTCGGGTGCTAAGCCAATAGACAAAACGTTAACCAAATACCCTGACAGATAATCCACCCTCCTGGCAAATTTGTGTTTCCCGTGACAAGTATCAGCCTCGCAAGCACAACTCCTCCGAATGCCCATCCCATCTCCAAGCACTGTGTCTGACCCGGCGCCCGAGCTCACCACGTTGTTCACGGCCTTCTTCGGCCCCTCGAGCACGACATTGAGGCCTGGCTTCAGGAGTCCGCGGGAAAACGCATCCTGCAACTGCAGGGCACAGTAGCGGTCAAAAAGAAGGAAGAAGGCCCCTTCTCCCGCGCCCAGTCCCGCGAGCTCCGCCATCCCCTACCTCTCCGTCAGCAACGAGAGAATCATCAGAATCCGAGTCCGAGCCTGAGAGGGGGGGAGTGTCCATCTCGCGGCCAGCCAGCGAACCCACCCGGGGTCTCGCCTTCAACCCCTACTCGTAAGCCGCGACCCCACGTGCGCTCGAACTAGGCTAATGCCAACAACTCGCAGTTCCTGCTCTGCTCTTCCAACGGGACTTCCGCTTCCGGCGCTGAGACACCTTCCGGTTTGTGGTTGCCATAGGAACCGCTCCGGCGTTTGGCAGGACACAGATTGCTTGGGACAGGCAGAACTAAGCCTTTGGATACTTGCGTGGTCTGGTGACCCGGAGAGAAAAGGCAAAAGGTGGGAAGGATCCCTGGAAGACGTCAGAACTAGCTGGAAGTAGTAGAGAGGAAAAGGGGCGACGGAGCTTCGGGAAAGGGTGGGGAAGTTGAGACAGACAGAGCGGGGGCGTGTCCTGAGGCCTGAGG